GGAGGAAGAATGAATCCCCTCATGGGATTTCACAGCGGTGATGCAGGGACAGTCCTGTGACAATTTCACAAAGAGAGGGAGATTGAACTGGGCGCAGGCAGCCCGACTGTGGTCTCTTTCCCCACAACCTGAGACCCAGTCAGCTCATGTCCAGCCCAGCGTGGGTGCGCAGGCAGGCTGTCTCCGCTCTTTGTGCCGGGGCTTCTCTGCAAGATCCACTCAGTATAGTGCATGTCTGACACCAGCTGTTGAACAAACAAGCTACTCAAACTGCCGACTGCACTGGCAGAGTTTAGGGAAATGACCAGGAGGGCTGTCAGCTGCAGTGGTGAACACCAGGTGTCCATGGGCCCACGCGGCAGCAGGCTGTCCCTTTCCATGCCTCCAGGATGGGCAGCCCACCACCTCCCACGCACCAGCACCGGGATTGCTCTCAGATTCAGGGAGCCTTTCCTACTCGGAGCCAAAACCCACCTCCTGGCCCCCAGCAGCTCCTGGCCCCCACCTCTCAGACCCCACACAGCAGTGTGGGGTCCAACACTTCCCAGTCCTCCAACTGCCCTTAAATAGGGCAAATACAAGGCCTCACATTTGGTTCAAAAATCCAAATGCAGTACCGGGTGGTGAAGCAAAAGGGCACTTGTCCTTTGGGCTGCCTGCTGCAGGGGACTCGGACTCCAGGCAGACAGATGCTTTTCAAACTCGCTAGAGAACAGCTGTATTTTGAGTTTTCTTTTTAAACACCTAATCCATTATAAAATACCTAAAAATGCGGCAGTGCAGGCACTGCCAGGACCCATGCACATTTTTTTTTAAAATATGTTTTTATTGATTTCAGCAAAAGGAAGGAAAAAGGAGAGAGATAGAAATCTCAATGATCATCAGCTGCTTTCTGCATGCCCCCTACTGGGGATTGAGCCGGAAACCTGGGCATGTGCCCTGAGGGGAATCAAACTGTGACTTCCTGGTTCATGGGTGGAGACATTCAACCACTAAGCCACACCGGCGGCCCCACACACGTATTTTTTAAAAATATTTTTATTGATTTTTAGAGAGAGAGGAAGGGAGAGGAAGAAACATCAATGATGAGAGAGAATCATTGATTGGATGCCTCCTACATGCCCCCTATTGGGGATCGAGCCCACAACCCGGGCATGTGCTGACGCTCTCTCCACTGAGCCAAACCAGCTGGGGCCTCACCCACGTATTCTTAATTTCTGTTCTTGTTTCTTCATGGACAACCTGTGGACTACACTCCGTATAACCGACCTTTCCATGGACAGGTGGTACATCCCGGCCCTGCTTTCTGTCCTGGGCCACACCTGCAGGACAGGACCAGGTACTTCCCATCCTGAGGCTGGAGACTTGCACAGGGTACCCACCATGAAGAGTATAATTTGCAGCCTCTCTGAGACTGCTCTTCCTACATGTATTCATCCTGTTCTCCTGACACAAAGGATTCTAGCAAGTTTATGCAAATAAAACAGAAAACCACTTCATAAAAATTGATAACAAGCCCAGCAAAATGGAGGGCAGCCCATCTGGGAGGAGCTGCCACACCCAGACCCCAGATAGAGGCCTGAGTGTTTGGGTGGCTAAGTCAGAGGGTCAGATGTCAGTGTGTTTGTGAGGGGTCAAGATGAGGGAGAGCAGACTTGGTAGTTGTATGAACCAGTGTTCTGACCATATAGCTTCTGTCTGTGGCCATTTCTGACATTGCCCCTCAGGACAAGGATGTCCGTTTGTGGTTCTGTGCAGAACACTGTTCCTAGTTCCCCAGGGTCCTGCAACACTGGGGGTGTCAGCTGGCGCCGGGATTTCTCTAGTTTTATAAGCTAGCTATGACCATCACCAGCCTCAGGGGTGCAGAGACAGACAGAGGTGGGGAGAGAGAGAGAGAGAGAAAGAGAGAGGATTGGAGAGAGACAGGGGGCAGGGCCACCCTGGGAAGGCACATTGGATGCAGCTCACAGAGGCAGGGCAGGTCCGGAATCTTGCCCACTTGGCCCTGCCTATCTAAGAAGCCTGAATCTTTCTCAGTCCTTCTCCTCCTCTCCTCCCCCTCCTTCTCCTCCTCTTTGCCCATGCTGGGAGGCTGAGGGTCCTGGGCAATGCCTCTACAACTCTCCTTCACCTGCTCCTGAACTCAACACGCATATTCATCCCATAAACAGTGGGGCCCACTGAGGGAGGCCTACGTCTCACCATCAGAATGAGAGGAGCCTGTGGGGAGGGCCACCACAGAGGAGGTTTCAGAAGGTGAGGGCAGGTGATGGCCTTCTTTGGGGGCTAGAAGGAGCAGGAGGGCTGGACACATGCTCTTGGCTGGTGCCTACATGCCCAGGTGTGTCAGGGCTTAGCGGGGTCTGGGGAGGAAGATGAGAGACTGGAGAGGAGGGAGAGGCAGGGAGCACATCCCAGCCTCTGTGCTGGCCGAAGAGTGGGAGCAGGCTGGACTCAGCCTCACTGCACTGCTTAGCTGGGGGGACATCTGCTCCAAGGCATGGCCTCTGTGCTGGGGAGCCTGCAGTCCAGCAGGGGCTAGTGAGGGGCCAGGCAGCTGGAAGGGGGTTGCTACAGGGAACGGGGGGCAGGCTGCCTGTGCAGGTGAAATCAGGGCAGTAGCTCTGAGAAGTAAGGTGTGGGATTGACCTGGAGAGCAGGAGGGTGAGGATGGAGGCAGCAGATGGTCTATGCTACTGGGGGGTGGGAAGTGGAAGGAAGGCGCCCAAAGCACAACAGGTCTCACCTTGCCCACGGGAGGGGGGCGCTCTCTACAGGGCTCTGCGTCCCCTAGACTTGATGCCTCTCCTGTGTTCCCAGGGGGCCTCCACTTAACTCTGACTCTTTAGGAACGAAGCCTGGTGTGGGGAGGGAGCACTGGCCAAGGGTGTCAGGTGCCCAGACCCCTCCCTTCTCTGGGCTCCCACCTTCACCTGTTACCCCAAAGCACATGCTCCTGCAGGGCTCCGCAGCTCTTAGAACCATTTCACCTTTGGACTTTGGGCCTCAGGCATTGAACAACACTCTGAGGTGGTCCTGAGGAGCCTGTGCCCTTCAGGTCCCCACAGGCTGCTGCTCCTCCTTTCCCTCCTCCTCTCCCTCCACCCTCCCACCAAGAGCCACACCAACTTCAAAAGCCTAATTACTCCTGACTTGGGCTGTTTCCTGGCTATTTCTCAGGTGAGGAAGTCCCCATCACTTTCACTTTTATATGTGAGCTGCTGGGGTGGGGAAAAGGAATGGGATAGTAACTTCCTTTGGGGCAGGAAGGGTGAAACAGAACAGCCAATTAGGGAGGCTGGGCGTGAAGGTGAGAAGTTATAAAGGGAGGGTCCCTCAGGCCCCCTTGTGGGCGATGGGCAGGAGAAGAGAGGAGCCACCTGTGGGAGCTCGGGACAGGTGGGGCTGAAGATAGAGGCTTTTCCTGCTGTAACCCCCATCTTTCCATGAGCCCTTCTCTGTTCTGCTTGTGTGCCCTGTGGGGAGACAGCACCCCTCCGGTATCCAGCTGGCCTGGGAGCAGAGAGGAGGAGGGGAAATCGGTGGTCCCCAGGAGCCCTGAGGTTGTGTCCACCAGATTCACTTCTTCTCAGGAAATAGAGAATCACTGAGTGTGCAAACAAAGTAGGGTTCCATGACACCCCTACCCTCTGGGGCCACAGGCTGCCCTGCACTCTTGCTTGGGTGGGTGCCTAGTGGTAGCTCCTGGAGAGAGGACCCCCTGAGTTGATCTGGAGAAGATCAGGTTAGGGTCCATTTAGACAGAACACACATGGCTCAGGTGAAAGGAGTGACACACGTGTGTTGTGGGGGGCAAGGCTACGGTCCCGCGGGCCCAACAGGACAAAGCTCTCAGTGCGTGAGGCTGGTGACAGGGCCCTTCTTTACGAGAGCAGCGCGAGGGTGAAGGCGCTTCCTCCTGCGCCCAGGAATGCAGCGGCGGTTCTAATTAGAAGCCAGCGAGGGAGCTGGCGGCCGCGGGCCCTCTGGACGCGCTCCCTGGCTTCCCCCACGGCTGGTGGCGCAAGCGTCAGTGTCCCCGCGTCCGAGGCACGCTCCGCGCAGCCCGCGCTCTGGGGACACCGGAGCTGCAGGTGACACGCGGGTGCGGGGCGCACCAGGGTCTCCGAGGCGCGTCCCCGACACTCTACCGCCCAATCCCGGCCCCCGGACCCGCCCCATCGACCGTTCCGCTCCGCCCCGCCTGGCTGCGCCTGGACCGTAGTTCCCACCCCGGGCGCCCCCACTCTTGAACAATCTCGAAGAGAAAAATTATTATCGGATTAGATGTACTTGGGCTCGCTGGGTCTCCCCCTTCCCCTCGGCGTAATTATTATAATTCCAGGCAAGCCGTCGGAAAGGGTTCCTGGGAGGGTGTGTGCAGAGCGCGAAAGTGTGTGGGGAGGCTTCTCTCCAACTCTGAGTCTCTTCCAATGGCGCGCCCGGCCCCTCGGCGCCCGCTTTCCCCGCAGGGGGCTTGGGGTGACGCTGACTGTGAGGCTCCTGCCTCATCAGATGCCAGGAGGGAGAGCCACCCTGACCCGCCTCCCCCCATTTGTGCTGTAAATTCTCGGGATCCTTCCCGCAGTTTGTCTGCACTTCCATGACCAGCTTTAGGTTGGTCTTACAGAGATGTGCCTGGTCTGGGGCAGAGGACAGAGCGCCCTAGCCTTCTCCGAGGTGGGTTCCAGGGCCTCTCCCTCAGGAAACCTCAAACTCGATGCTCACTCCCTCTGCTCCTCTGGGCAACTCCTTCTGGCTATGGGAGTCCAGGCCGACGGCTCACAGACAGGGCCCCTGGGGACACTGTCGCCGGGAAAGCGGAGGGAGGCACGGAGAGCCTGGCACTGGCCCCACTGCGCCTGCCGCTCCTGGCCAGTCCCCACTGCTGTCTTTACGTAACTGCGCTGCCCCGAGCTGTTCGGTCTTGTCTCAACGACTTTGTTTTAAGGTGTGTGTGTGTGTGTGTGTGTGTGTGTGTGTGTGTGTGTGTAAGACACGGTCCTTAAGAAAAATCTCTGGCGGATTTCTCTCTCCCAGCTCGCCCTCCCCGCTTCGTTTGGACTCAGGCTGCCCAGACGTTCGTGACATCTGTGCGGACCCTTTTCCCGCCTCTCTCCAGCCCACTGTTCGCCTCGTCTCTCGCCGGGGCCCCTCTTGGCCCGGAGATCAATGTCCCCGGAAGCTCCGCCACCCGCATCCCAGCCCTGGCCCGAACAGGTCAAAAGAGGCCGCCAAGGAAAACCACCGGGTGCCCACGGCCCGCGGAATCGAAGGGGTAGGGCGTGGGCTCCGGGCCACTGCGGGCCCTGCCCGAGGGGATGGCGGCTGAGGGCGCACAGAGGCCGCGGCGAACGCGAGGAAGGCTCACTCACCACCAGATCGGGTAGCTGCCCAACGCCTGCTTCACGCTGTAGAGGAATAAGAAGTACCCAAGCGGGGCCATCGCGGGGAGGCAGAGCGCGGGCGCCAGGCGGGCCGGGGCCCTGGAAGCTGGCGGGCGGCGGCGCTGGGTTTTCTTGCTGCCACAGGGTGTGCGGGGTGCGCGGGCGCTCGCGGGTGTGCGGGCTCCGAGGGCGGCGCTGCGCCAGGTGGGCCGGCGGCGGGGCGGCGGGCCCCGGCCCAAGGCAGCGCGGGACGGCGGGGGCGGGGCAGCGCCGCGGGGGGCGCCCGCCGGGGCCCTGGCCGGGGCGGGGCAGGGAGGGCCGGGCTGGGGGCGGGCGGGGCTCTGGGAACTGGCGCTACGAACGCGCTGGCCCCTCCCGCGGCCGCGGGATGCGCAGGGTGCGCTGGATGCACCCAGTGTTCAGGAATTGCTGTCAGATGCGGGGGGTGGGGGGATGATGGGGAGGGAACTACCGCCTGCCGACCCACCTGGACGGCGTGGTCGGCAATCATCCTCTTTGAGCTCCCCGGCCGCGCCTGGCGTTTGGAGCCCTGCGCGCCCTGCGCTCACCGTGAGACGCGCTGTGCTGTTTTCGCTCTTGCTTCTGCTGTGTCTCGCGCTCTGTCCCTTGCCCTCATGGTGGCCGGGCTGCCGCTCCCTTCCATCCATCTCTTTGCCAGTTCTTCCGAGGCCGGCCCCACAAGCCGCGCCTTGCTAGTCCGCTGGGATCCAGGTTGCCCGAGCAGCTCAGCCGACGGAGATGGGCTGGGCTGGGAACGGCGGCCCTGGGGACAGGGCGTCCAGGGTGCAACCACGTACCTGAAGGTTAAGATTGAGAAACAGGTGGTGACGCCCCCGCTTTCTTCCCACACCCCACCAGGAAAGAGAACGCGGGATCTCCTGGTATTTTGGGGTGGCGCGCGCAGCTGTGCCCTGAGCTCTGGGACCTCGGATCACCGGGTCTGACAGGGCCCAGAAGGGATTTCTGACAACGGAGGTAAGCCTTATGGTTCTGCTGACTGGGGAGGGAGAGACCAGAAAGGGAAAGTGACTTATCCGAGATCTCACGGAGTGGCTCTCTAGCTCTGGCTTGCAGTCCATTGTGTGGCTGTCTGCATATTCATCCGTAGCCCAGGGAGACACAGGAGCTATTATTTGGGGAGGAGAGGGAAGAGGTCACCCCTTACTCCAGTTTTCCCTGGTGCACATGATAATAACAGGTGAGATGCTTGCGCCCATGGGAGACTGGTCGGTTTCAATTATGCTGTGAGGAGAGCAGAGCGGGAATTCGTGTCATTGTTTGGGGCCTGGAGGGGGGGGGGAGGGGGAGTAGAACTGGGCCTAGAAATCCTAAGCAGGGGCTCTGCCATGATGCCGCGTTTCCTATGACCACTGCTCAGACAGCCTCTGAGTTGTGTTACACTGTACAGTGTGGTCTGCAGAATGTGTTGGCCCCATAGAGGGGTCCCACAGAGAGGCCCCAGTTCAGGGGTGGCTCGATGTCCCTTCAGATTTAGTACTGGCTGGAGACCCAGAGGCAGGTCTCACCCCCAGCATGCTGCCTGCTCATCTGCAAAGGGAGCCCTGGGGCCTGTGGATGCCAGCCCTGTGGCACCTGGTGACTTGCATCAGGAGCCCTTTCCCAATGTGGAGCGAAGTCTTTGTATTTCCAGGAAAGCTCTTTTCCCTTCACCAGCTTTGGGATCCAGTTTTGTCCACGTATGCTCCTCCCTACACCCCTCCACTGAGTCAACAAATGCCCCCCACCCACTGAGGGAAGGAGAAGGGATTCTGGAATGAGATGGGTGGGCAGGAGGGAGCTAGATTGTCCTCTGGACTTCCATTCTCCCTCAGAGAAAACTCCGCCCAATTATCAAATTACTGGGGATGTGGGCTGTGGGAGTGGGGTGGGAGCCACACTGCAGCTCCTACCCCTGCCTCTCCAGGTGCTCGGCCTGCCTGGGATTAGAGCTTCGACGAGGATCCCCCAGACAAAGGGGTGGATCCATACACAGGGGTGGCCATCCCACCGGGATGGAGCAGGTAGGTCTTGCCTCTTCAGTCCTCCATCCTGCCCCTCACCTGCTTGGGCCCTCTAGGCTCCCCCTGCTGCTCTCCTCTTTCCTGGGCCTTGTCATCTGTGGTGCTAGGTGGTGGGGAGGGAATAGAGAGTGAAAGGTGAATGCTGCCACTCCCAGGTGAAGCCTCCCTATTCTGGAGAGTTACCTGAAGACACGTATCATAGCAAGCCTTCCAGAGAGCATCAGCCAGGGAAGCTCTTCCTTCACCCCATTTTCTAGGAGCCGTCGAAGCCCTTGAGTCTGTTTCCTGCAAGCCCAGGAGCATGGGGCGAGGCCATCCTGGGGTTGATGTGGAGAGGAACACAGGTGCAGGAAAGGGAAGTTTCCACTACAGTTGGGTGGTGAGGTTCTTTCCCACTCCCTTACTTTCAGCTGGAAATTCTGTACCCTGACTGGAAGAGAGAGACATGTCTCCCCCCCTCCCCCCCCCCCCCCCCCACACACACACACATGTCTGCTTGTGCCCCTGCTTGCCTGGCCCTGGCCACTTCCCTCTCAACTAAGCTTCCCTTTCAACTAAGCTGCTGAAGGGGAAGTCCTTCCTGGCAGCGCCCTCTGCTGTCATCCCGAGGGAGTTTCCCTGACCTACCCAGGGCCACGGGTCTGATCCCGCAACATCCCCCCTTTGTGGATGACTCCTGAGGAAAGATCCTGTTTTTGCACCACTGTAGACTGGAAGAGGCCCATGGGAGCTGCTTTCTTTCCAGAATAGGCCTGAGGGGAAAGGTTTGGTCCCAGGACCTCTGGGTGGCCCCTGCTGGGGTCAGGGGTGGTGAGGACCTAGTGTGGGGGCAGGCCAGATGGGAGGGCAGTTTGCTATCTGAGGTGTTGAGCTCCCTATCTGTGGTGGTGTTGAAATCCTTCATGGCAGGTATCAGGTGGAATTTTGTAGTGGTATTTCTTGTATTAGGGAGGGGGATGCCAGGCTTTCAGACACTAATTGCCTAATCCTTAACTTCCTTCTTTTCCATAAAGAAGTTGGGGAGGCAGGAAGGGATGTGGGCCACCAGGGGCTGGAGGTGGGAAGCCCATAGCTATGCCCTCAGAGGGACCAAGTGCAGACAGGATGGGAGTCTCAGATCAGAAGCAGGGGTGTTCTTCTTGCCCCTTCTGGAAGCTTTCCTCACCTACTGTGTGTGTGTGTGTGTGTGTGTGTGTGTGTGTGTGTGAGAGAGAGAGAGAGAGAGAGAGAGAGAGAGAGAGAGAGAGAGAGAGAGAGGCTGACTCTGGGGCACCTGCTCCTCAGGGGTGAGGTCCTTGGTCCTTGCATTCCCAGCAGAGGGTTCAGGCTTTCTGTCCATGCTCAGTCATCTTTTCAGAGTGCCCCAGGCCAAAAGACATACCTGACAGTTTTTTAAAAAATATATCTTTTTATTGGTTTTAGAGAGAGAAAGGGAGAGGGAGATAGAAACATCAATGATGAGAGACAATCATTGATCAGCTGCCTCCTGTACACCCCACCCTGGGGATTGAGCCCGCAACCCAGGCATGTGCCCTGACCAGAAATCAATCTGTGATCTCCTGGTTTGTAGGTCAACAACCACTGAGCAACACTGGCTGGGCCATACCTGACAGTTTTGTTTAGCAAGTCATTAGGTCCAAAAACCATAATAATGAGTAGTTCTTTTTTTTAAAAAAATTACATAAGTTAAAAGAATACTGTTTTTATTTCATTCTCACATAACTGCAGTTACCAATGGGAAGCTGTGCCCACGCAGTCGGCAAGAAAACTTTATTTTCTGTTCCTTGTGGATTTTCATTAGTACATTTTTTTAAATCACAGCATCATCCAGAAAGCCAGCTTCACAGAGATGTGATAACTTGCAAAGGAATATGGCCCATCCCAGCTAAAATACAGCTCCCTAGAGCCAGTAGGTGTCTTTCCTGCAGATGACAATATTGCTGTGTCTCCTGTGAGTGTGCAGTGCCCTAGGAATTTGCTGCAATGGCCCAGAGTGCCTGGGCACATAGTTTGGAAACCATGGCTCTAACACAAGTAGCTGGGAGTGGCCCCCAGATACATGGTCCATTTCATCTGCTCTGTCTCCCCATCTCTCCCCTGATCTCAGATGCACTTCTTGGAGACCCCTGCTGCACATCTAATCTGGTTGCGTGTTTCTGGATCTTTCCATTGGCCTATATTCTTTTTTCTTAGTTTGTGGGCATATTGTGTTTTAAGAGCCTCTCCTTTCTAGCCCTGGTCAATTTTTTTTGGCTCTCCAGAAGGTTTTCCTTATAAAGGCAGGCTGTTGGATCAGATGACTTCTCCAAGCCCTTTGAGACAGTGACAACACATGCTCTGGGTTCTGGGCTCTGCACAGTGCTATGGTCCCTGATCTCACTTGGATCCCCAGAAGCATCTGTTTCCAAGTGGGCAGAGGCTCTTCACATCCCCAGAGGGAAGTGAGGCAGGATGGGGTCCGTCTCTGTGGATTAGGTGTTTCCCACAATCTGAATATCAGAGGTGGGACTTGAAGTTTATGAGGCCATGAAAAGCCAGGGTCAGGATATAAGGGTGTGGTGGGGGCATGTGCACTCATCTTTCTGAGCTGCCCGGTGGATAGAGAGTGAGGTCCTTTCCATTCCTGAGAACTAGTCCACCTGTCTCAAGATATCCCACAGCAAATGCCCCTCTTGCAGTCACCATTTCTAACTACCCCTGGGAGCTCCATTTTGATTTTGATAGGATGCTCTGACTAGACCCTGTGGCAATGAGTGGACCCTTAGATCAGCTCCTCCTTGTATGAGAAAGTAGGCTCTGAGCGAGTGGCAGAGACTGAGGAGTTAATGGGTGAGACCTCTGCTTCTGGACCCCACCCTCCAGAGACCCTCCACGTTAGCCTGTGCCTCTGGATGTCACGTGGGAGGCTGTCATCCATGACACCCCTGGAACAAGACTCCTGTGTACATCCCCAGCGTGCAACCCTAGCTCAAGTGGCTTTCTGTTGCATGATCTTCCATTCCCTGCTCCAGAAGGTGCAGCCATAAGACCTCTGCATCTATGATTCTCAGAGCTCTTAGCAGTAGAAGAAAACAGAATTTGAGGATAAAAATTAGCATCATGGAGTTCTGGAATCCTGGACTCTCATCACAGTGGTTAGGACTGTAGATTAGTTTTCTGGAGGCTCAGCTTCCAGGGGGCCTTGCAATCTTGGCTCTGTGGCCTTACTCATCTATAAAATGCAGGTGTTAGCCTTCTGTCTAATGTGCTGTTTTGCTGTGATGGCCAGATGGGGCCATTAGTTTGAGTGGTTACCTGTGGAAGTTCCACTCTTGGGTCAACATTGCTACCTTGTGGAATGAGGCAGCAGAGTGGACAGGACACGGGGGCCACATTGAGGTCCCTAACCTATAGGCAGTGCCCACCTGGGCTCTGCTATGGGTGGAGGGAGTTTCAGTCGCTCCTTAGCTCTTGACCTTCCTGAGGCCTCTCTTCCTGGTAACAGGATAACCACAGTCCCAGAGGGTCTGCTTTACTCGTGTTGGGTAATTCACTTGATCCTGAGATCACTCGAGACACACTGTTACCATCCTCAGGGCATGAATGGGTACTGAGGACCAGAGGGGTTGAGAGTGAGAGTCATGAGGCCAGTGTTCAGAGGGTTAGGCTTAGAGTCTAGGTGGCTCCCTGGCGGTATCCTTCTCACTGCCCTGTCACCCTGGCTAACGGTCTGACTTCTCTCTCCTTTAGTATACCACACCCCAAAGTGTCACCTTTGGAGCCTTCCTCAGTGATGGTGGGAGACACATATGTCTGTTGGTCTCCATCTCCACAGGTTGTGGCAGGCTGGGGTGTTACTTCCCCACATCTCTATGTTGGCCTCTGTGAGCCAGGACAGGTGGAGCCTGATCCCGGGAGGATGTAAGCAGGGTGGGGCAGAGGCCTAAGGCTGTCCAGGTCTCCACTGGCCACTCCCTTCCTCTTTTGCTGCTCTCTGGCACCAAATGTCACTTGATGATGTGTTTTCTACAAGGTCATCAACCCCTTGGTCAGTGACATGCTTTTCTACCTGCTTACAAGACTTCCCTACCCAGCAACTCCATCTCCCCACATCTCCACAGCCCAATCTGGTGCCCCTCCAGCAACTTCTTTCACTTCCTTCTGTAATTCCAGTAGACTCCCTCCTCTCTCATGTCATTGAGGGAAATTGAGGTCATCAGCTTCCCCATTATAACCTGCAGTGGAGCCTCCATCTCTCCTGTCTCAGAGGATGAATATTCCATTAGCCCTGCTGGTCCAGAAAGTTTAGCAAAGCATTTGTTTTCATTCTCTCCAGGCTCAGCGACCATCCCTCTCTTAAATCTTCCATCTGCCCCTAGACCAGCTTCTTCCTCTTAGTCTGGAAGTGAAGTGCTATTTCAAATGGTGTTTTTCTTTCAATTTCAAGTTCCATCATTTGCTGTTAGAATGTAAAAATATCATTGATTTTAGTATATTGATCTTATAGCCTTCCCAAACTCATTTGTTAGTTCTAGTAGTTCCCCACCCCTATAGATTCTATAGGATTTACTACATAGACAATTGTGACAGTTTTGTATCTTTCAATTCCGGATACCTTTCATTTCTTTTTCTTGCTTTATTGCATTGGCTAGAAGCTCCAGGACAAGAGTGGATAGCTTTGCTTTGTCCTTGTTATTGGGGGACAGGCATGCAGTGTTCCATTTAAGCATGTTACCAGTGGTAAGCTCTCCATATATGCCCTCTCTCAGGTTGAAGAAATTCCCCTGTATTTCTAGTTTGATGAGAGTTTTTGTCAGAATTTGTAAAGTGATTTTTCTGCATCTATTGAGACAATTATAGTTTTTATTATTTAGTCAGTTAATATATTGAATTATATTAATTGATGATCAAATAGCAAACCAACCTTACATTCTGGGATAAATCCCTCTTGGTTATGATGTACTGTCTTCTTTATATATTGTTGAATTAGATATGATAAACTTAGT